TATATATATATATATATATATATATATATATATATATATATCCATCTCTCTCCAGGTGTTCAATGGGAAATATGTCTGCACTCATTGCTGGTCCTTTTAGAAGTCTCCAGTGCTTTCTCTCAAACCACTTTCTAGTGTTTTATGAAGTATGTTTTGGGCGTTAATGTCCTGCTGGAAGACCCATGACCTCTGAGGGAGACCTAGCTTTCGCTAACTGGGCCTTACACTGCCATGCAAAATTCCTTGGTCATCTTCAGACCTTATGCCAAGCACACGGTCAAGCAGTGCAGTGCCAGATGCAACAAGGCAACCCCAAAACTTCCACCATGTTTGACTGTAGGGCAGTGTCCTTTCCTTTGAGGGCCTCGTTTTGTTTTCGTGTAAACTCTATGTTGATGCCTTGGTTTCATTCGACCAGATAACATTCTTACAAAATGTTTTTCTTTCTCAGCTAATAATAGGCAAACTCCAGCCTGGCTTTTTTATGTCTTTGGCTCAGAACTGGGGTCCTTCTTGGTATCTTACTAGAGTCCCTTTTAATTTACATGCTGATGGATAGTATGGGGGTGTCCCATCCAAGTTGCAGGAAAGCTTGGATGTTAGTCGAGGTTTTTCATTCCACCATTTGCACAATCTGTCCAAACATAATGGAGGTCAGCCACAGTGCCATGGGCTTTAAACTTCTTGATGACAGTTCACAGTTGACACAGGAACATTCCCGTCTTCGGAGAAGGAAATTGTAGCCTTGAGATTACCCATGCTTTATCACAATTTTGCTTTTCTAGTTCTCAGATAATTCATTTGGTCTACTTTTCTCTATGCTCAGTGTCGTACACACAAGGATGAGGAAGATTCAATTTTTAATTCATTTAAACTGGCTGCAAGTATGATTTACTTATTTCCACCACCTGTTACGTGCCACAGATAAGTAAATGGTGATTTTTCAAAGGGTGTGAATACTTTTGTCCTCTCCGTTTCGTTTGGTGTGGAATTATATCCTATTAGGATTTTTTACAATTGTTTTTTCATAGCAAGCAAAATTAAGATTCTAATGCCAAAACATTTGTAATTGCAATTTGTTTTCTGGGAGGAATTTAGATTATACGACAGAATAGCAGTTTCCAAAACTTTTGGCAAGCTTTCTACATCATATTATTAAGAATGATTTGTTTTTGTTTTTAAGTTTTCAGTCTAAGGAGCAGGAACCACTGAACAAATGTTGCACTCATCATTCCCCTTTATTCACAGGGATCTGTAAATTGCATATTGTAAGAGCTTTAGCTTCCTTATTCTTGCTTTTTTGTAACACATACTTTTGTTTCACCCTCTGCTGCAGCTTCTGATGGGACCATTTAAAAAATGTTTTTGGCACCTTAAGGATTCATTTTTATTCACAACTGAACTTGGTTTTCACATTACATCAAAAACTCTTCACACAAAGTCAAACTCAGGAAAACAATTAAATACAAAATTTATTAAGCAAATATACAACAGCTTAATAGGCTATCTTACAGCTCAAATATAAAGATCTTCTTTTATTTCCACTCATTAGGAGTGGAGTTCATATTCAACTTAGACTTTAAACTCTGAAGAATTGTGAAAACATTTAATAAAAAGCAAGAAAAAAAAATACACATAAAACCTTTCAAACCAGGAAAGCTGATCTGAAATCTGTTTGTCTGGATGGTCTAACAAATTCATCTAGAATAAAAAAAGAAATCCTTTACAAAACATCAAATATAAAGAACATTTTTACAGCAGTTTTTTTTTTTTTTTTTTTAAGTTTTCAGTTGATCACATCTGACCTGACTATGTTCTGTCCTGCAACTTCAGCGTGTTATTTCATTTTTGTATACAAAAAAACAAAAACAATAATCTTTGGGATGAAATTGTGTTGTTTTTTTTTCACAGCACCAAAACAATGTAAATGTTCCTACTCGAATCCAAACATTTCTTTCTTTGCTCTATGCAAGAACCTCTTTTATATTTGTGATAATTGTATTACAATACCCAAATATACAAAATGTAAGAACAAACAGTCAAAATACAAATATGTTCCCAAGATACTAAGGGACTAGGATTTTGTTTTCTTACCAAAGGAAGCAAGTGTTTTCTCCTATATTAAATCTTCAGGTATGGTGTCGAAACAGAGCTGCAGGCTAAATTCTATGTGGGGTGAAATTGTCACAGCTCTGCACTAAATGATGTCATTTGTAACACAATAAGTGACTACCATCAGCTTTCCTGATAAGAAATGCTATAATATTAAAACAGGTGTTCCAAGACGCAGACAAACTCCAGGATTTATCAGAGGACAATTGGGGGACATCAGTACACCCCTCGTAGTCCTCCACTTCTTGAGCCTCCTCCTCCTCCGCTGCTGTAGTAACCGCCTCCCCCACGGCCTGAGAATGTAAAGGAAAAGCGTTAAAAGCTTTGCAATTCGAAATATATATATATATATTACTCTCTGGACTACAACATTTATTTAGTATTGAGGTGATTTATGATAGAGAACTCACTCATTTCAGGTGCTCCACTAGATGTTGAGTTAAGGAACAGCTCGATATAGCGATGCTCTGTGGAGAAAACAAACATTTATACTCCTGCTGTTTAATGTTGCCCTCCATCCACTCCTTCGACCAGTACTGCACATATTAAGGTGCTTTAATTGAGGTGAGGTTTTAAATGCTGTTCTTTTAGCCAAAATTAAGTCTGACTAATGCAACATACCGACACTAAAGTCTTAGTTAAGTAACATGCTGCTGTTTTTTTTTTTTTCCCTCTGGTGTTGCCACCAGAAAATGTCGACCGCTGTTTATTGATCATTTATTCTCCAGATGCAGTATTTATATTGAAAAAACTCAGTACAGTGCAGTATTTTGTTTATTTTCTTATCTCTGTCACTTATTCTGATATTTTTATACACTTTCTAAGGTCCACATTGTGTGAACACTTCTGCAATAATCTTTTGCTTCTGCCGTAACACTGTAATTTCCCCGTTGTTGGACAATAAAGGGACATTCTATTCTAAAACTAATCAGCAAGTCTCCTGATCATTAGTGAAAGGACAAAAGAGAGTCACATACGCATGTGATTCTTGTCTTTGGACATGGCCGCCACCGCATCTTCATGGCAGCGAAACTCCACATCCGCCTCTCCAGTTGGCTTCCCATTAGGCGCCATATCAATGTGGATCCTCAGTGGATTCAGTGGAGCAAAGAACTTAAAAAAAAAAAAACACAAAGCAAAAAAAAACTGTTGAGACTCTGAAATTGTGCAGCAGTATTTTCTATTATTAATGGCCAGGGAAAGATTACTAACAACAGAGTCTAACTTTAAATCATACTACTACTGCTCTACTAATTCTATAAAAAAACCAAAACAAAACAAAAAACATACATTTAACCTTTAAAATGGCTTAAAGGCTAGATTAAAATGACTAACTTGTTCCCGGAGACAATGCAATGACTCGATAGCCTTTTTAGCTCATATTTCACCCCTGTTTAAGAGAGATTGCTAACATTTTCAGGTAATACCCTAATACAATCATTAAATATCCGTAGGAAGTCATAAATCATTAACTAGTTATTTTACTTTTGCAATGTCGCCCTCTGTGGCCCGAAAAGGTAAACCCCTCATGTGCACGAAATGGCCACTGTGGAAACCTGAGCCACCATCAGACGGTCCACCATAACCGTGGCCTCCAATTCCTGGAAATAAAAAAACAGAATGAACCTCAGAAATTTACCAATCAGGATATATTATTTAATTAAATAATAACATCTTCAGACAAGTTTTAAAAACATACTTTGGATGCATTTTAAAATATAAGACTAACTGTAAAATTATGTTAGATCTTTAAAATGCAAATATATTACTAAAACAATGTTTCCTTTTAGCTATTTGTATTTATGTTATCCTTTGATCTTTACCTCTTCCTCCTCTCTCTCCTCTCATTCGGTCATTAAACATCCCATCACTAAAACCATAGTCATTGAGACCATTGTAGTTGTCAAAACTACTGTAACCTGGACATATAGCAAAAAGAAAAACAAAAAACAAAACATTAGATTGTACAGCAGGACTAATAAATGATATAGATGACACTTAAAAGTTTTCTTTGCATAATCACAGGAAGAAGAGAAGGACGATATATCAGGATGATAAGTCCATTTTTTTCCCCCAAACAAACTTATTCTGGGTTCGTAAAACCGTTAGTAATGGTTTCTCTTTCTAAAGGTGAATGTAAATACAGGAGTTTACCTCCTCCATAACCGCCTCCACTCCTCATGTTGTCTATCAGACCCACACTGCGTCCAGGCCCATAAAGGCTTCCCCTTGGGGCTGCTACTACAGGTCTGTCATAGGGCCCAGGCCTCTGGGTTGTTCCCCCCCGCCGGGGAAGGTCATAGTGGGCTTTGATCTCCCAACGGCTGCTTTTAAAGATTTCTATGTACCTGCAACATGAGAGGCCCAAGGAACAATGGGGAAGTAGATTAGACGCTTTAAGTGCAGAAAAAGCTAACATCTGTAACTAGCAGACATCACAGACACAAGATAAACATCCTTACACAGCTATAAAAAATATTAAAAAGGAAAAAAAAGCAAAAATATAAAACCAAATAAATTAAATAAATAAAAGCTGGGTTATTTGCTCACAGTTAAAGATGTCTGTAACAACCTCACCACTGAAGCTTATGGCCTAATCCTAACTGGGTGTTTAGGGCTGCTTTGAACTTTCTACTGAGCATCCATGAGATGCTTTGATGGCCGCAAACCACTGCATCTATAGAGGTGGCAAAATTATTTAAACCCTTTGAACTATTTTATTACATAACCTCAGACCTCAAAGTATTAAATTATGTTTTTTGTATTACAACAACCCATAAATGGGCACATTGTTAAGTTAAAATAAAGTTGTAGCTGTCTGTACAAAATAAATGTTTAATTTAGACCAGATGGAAATTATATATAAATATTAGTTTGAAAATTTGACAAAGGGTACTTACTGGGTTTAAGACTGGAATTTGACCAGGCAATTCTAACAAATATTAAGAATATAGTAGAATTCAGTTTCCATCCATCTGAACTTCTGGGTTATAAGGTTGCGGTTTGTTCACTAATGTTCTATAACTAAACTGCTGGTGTCTTAGATCTACTTAATACCTAAATAGGGACTTCTTGAAAGCAAGAGGATGCTGCAGGTTGTATAGAGTAAAGGGGGAGAAAACCAATATAGAAATGTTATTTATAAAATATTAATTATAAAGCATCTATTTTCTATTTACATCTATTTTCAGTCACTTTGTTAAAGATTTGTTTTGGTCCATCCTATTAAATCTCCCAATTACACATCCAGATTATAAACTCACACATTAATAAAAAAAAAAAAAGTTCAGAGGTGTAAATACGTCTGCGCTGCTCAGGATAAACAGTCTAACACCTTCAAACGTCACTGTCTTTAATAATTAGCATGAACTGTGCCCAATATAAACACCTTTACGAGCCCCAAAATTCTGTTCATCACAGGAAACCCAATTAAAGCCACTTTTATTAAAAACCCCAACCAGTTTTCCTTTTCCCCCTCCAGAAATGGTACAGCCCACAGACCCATACATATCATTCATCCACCCCTCAACCCATCTAAGTAAAACCACAATTATTCTAAAATGATCATCCATAAAATGCCATAGAAAAACCCAACCCAGTCCAGCCCATCCCTCTCCCATCCGTCCCACCTGTGCCCTATTCTTTCCTTGTGTTTCCCCAGAGCCTTTTCTGCTATCTCCTTTGAGGCAAACTGCACGAAGGCTTCCCCTGTGCTCCTCCCCTGGTAGTCCACTGGCAGAGTTATCCCATTTGGCACGATTCTGAACCCTTCAACCCAAGCACACATAAATACATAGGTCGGTAGGTAGACTGGTAGGAGAATTGAGAACAACACCCACTGCATCAGTGGAGCTTTGAGGATTAGTGTCATCAATGATCATTGTCAGCAGTACTCTGTAAAACTTCACAAACATTGTAATATAAGAGTAACAATTAAATAATGTCCCCAGCAGTAAAACGAAACAAATGTGGTTCTGGAGTCAGTATAAAAAGTTACAGTGCAACAACCGTTACCTAAGTACAGATGTTTAAATTCTGCTTACTACCCCTAATCATTTCAATATGTTTATGTGAGAGTTAATTTTTAGGTGTGATTGTTTGGTCTTCGCTCTTAATAGTTCAGGACTGATAGAAGACAGTCGATATTAGAATAATACTGACTCCAGATCCATTTTATGGGTAATGAAAAATTTGTAAAGCCAACCCAGCTCATACAATTTAACATTTCATAAGGCATAATCAGCGTCTTTGTAATATAAGTATCTAATGAGAATACAACTGTAGTTTATAGAATTATTTTAGAGACTCAATTTTCCTAATTTGACATTTTTATGTACTGATACCCATGTTTTGTTATAAACTTTACTTCAGACCTGAAAATCTAAGTTATGGTAGAAATACTAATAGTCAACTGAGGGAGCATTCTAGTTACGTGCAATTTCCAAAAAAACAACAACATATAAATATATTATATGCACCACTAATAAGTAATTGAATTTAAAACTAACTCTTTAACAATAATATTCTGACTGTACTAATAAGGTTTTAAACTATGATGGAGATAAAATGTAGTAAATCAAGTACTTGTTTTTGCATTATTTTCAAACTTTGACGTTTTTTAATGAAGTGGAATTTTGGATAGAAAAACTGAACTATAATGGAAAGAATTTAGCAAATTGTGATTTCTTTCTTAATGCTTCTGGATACTACAGTTACAAATTTTAAATGAACTGAAATGAATTGAGTTTAGACCAAATTGGACTTTTAAGTTGTATAAGGATCATACCCATTTGTTATACAAATTACCTTTAGAGTACATTGGTACATTCTAATACATTAGTACATTATAATTAGCTCCATAGGAATGAAAAATCACCCATTAACCAACATACTGTACATTTTACCTGTTTTTCCCTGTCTTTATGCACTTAACCAACAATATCATAATTTAAACACAGTGACTATAAACGTGAACAAATTTTCTCCACCCAAGACGCATTGCTCTAAAATAAATGATAAAAGCTACATAAACATTTCAACATTAGTGTACCTGAAAAGAACTGGACAATCTCCTCCTTGCTACAGCCAAAGGGGAGTCCTCTTAATTTTAGCATGCAGCCATTGCAGCTGTCAGGAGGAGGGCCGCTACGTCTCAGCACCCATTCCATTTCACTAAGTTTTGACTTAAACACTGTTTTAAACACATGAACATAGGAAAATATTAACACAGCAACAACTATGCAAGAAAGATAGTTTAAGAAGAAACACTGTCATATTTCTTCCAAAGAAAAATATCAAACAAAGAAAGCATATTCCTCGTATTTACATATTGACAACTAAAGCTCTGCAGGAAACTGGAGGAATTTGAAACAGAAAAGCAACACAGGAACCGTAAATAATTTTATAAATAAACAACAATGCTTTAGAGACAAAACTGTCCAAAAAAAATAAAAAATTTTAAATCATACATTTCAAAGGTTTATTACAGTTTTACCTTCTACGTATCTGTGTCCCATGTATTTACGATCCTTGGCAAGTGCATTCTTGTAATCATCAGCTGTTTGTAGCTCAACAAATGCCTCGCCGGTGGAACGACCCTCTTTAGTGTAGGTCAGACATACTCCGTCTGCGCCTCCCACAATGTCACAGTCTGCAGAAACATACGATCATTTCAATATTCTACTTACAAAAAGCCACAGCAGCTGATCAGATTTCAACAGAGCTATTAATAACACGCAACAAGTGTTTCTAACACCAACTAAACAGAAAGGTCTGGATGCAATGGCCTCAAAGAAAACAGTCAATTATGTACATTGATGAAAATTAATTTAGCCATTTAACACTACAACTGAGGAATCAAAACAATTCCCCGAAGGTGCTTGTCATTTCATCAAGTCATCATCCAGGGTGAAGGAATTGGACCTATACTAACAAACCAACAACTTGATATTGCAAGCTATTAATGCTATTAAATTGTTATGTCAATTACAAAAATTATATCTGTATTCCGTTTTTGTTTTAGGGTCTTAATCGTCAGATTATATACATTTCAACTGATCCAAATGCAGATCAGAACATAAACAAATACAAACAAGAGGAAAAAAACAAGGCAAATAATACAGGTATGGTGTGGGAATTTTAGTGATTAATTTTCTCCATAATTCACAAAAACACTTAACTATGAAGAGAAATAAACTCATATGCAATGTGAATGTAAAAAAAAAATAGTTTTTTTGCTTTCTGAAAGAAAAAGAAGCTACAAAAGGGACAAAAAAGCAACATACTGGTAGAAAATATGGATACACATTGACCTGGGGTCTTTTTAGTAAACCAAATTTCCTGAAACAAACACCTGTTTATCGTGATTAGCAGAACTCATAGTAGTAGTCTAGTTCAGTTGATATGCGTGTTTATTCTCACCAGAGAAGAAGCTAGCCACTTCGTCCCTTGAGCAGTTCCAAGGAAGTCCTCTGATACGGACCACATACCCATCATCATTTGAAGACATCCTTTCTGTCAGACAATAAAAGCCAAGAAATTTTTTTTAATCATAGAGTTCTTACACTGAATGTTATGATCATAAACATTACCATTAATTGTTGGGGTCAACTAAATGGTGATTGTGCTACTTAGCTTTTTGTACCCTTAAACAGCGTTTTAAACAAAGAAGTAATTTTCATGTGGCCAAATATTCAAATATTATTTAAAATAACCCCCCCACCAAATATAACCAAATTTTACAATTAACTGTGAAAGTTTTCAAAAATGAGCAGAAACATTGATTATGACGATTTTATGTTATCATTACATAATTTATGTAAACAATATCACTATATCATAGAAATATGGTTTACTGTCACAGTATACCTGGAAAATTCAGGTATAAAAAAAAGCAGGGGGAAACGGGAAGCCGTAAAACATACATTTTAAAGAGATTTTGAAACAAGCGAAAAGTAAATAAGTATTAAATTGAAATAATGGCAACGGATCAAACACACTTTGAATAATTCAGATTGAGTTTTTACATTTAAACTGAATAATAAGCAAAAGAAAAAAAAACAAGATCTGACATCGATTTCACATAAATCCAGGAAACATTAAATTTAATTATAAAGGTGAACCTCTTATACGGAAGTACATAGTGTTCGATTTTAGATGACAGGAGAAACTGCTTTACATTTCCACGCTATTAGCAGCCGTAGATCTAACGTCAGGTGTCATTAAGGTAACAACGCTCACCTTTAAACTCATTCAGAACGCTGTCGTATCTGCACCCATAAATAGTGGTTATTACTTATTAACAGGACACAATTTTAACATTTGAATGCATATACGCCGAGTTATACAGCATTTAAGCAAACGCATTTCCTCTTTCGAGCTAACGAGATGTTAGCTTCATCGGTGTAGCACTTAGCAGGCCAACTGCAAAGCAACGATTACAGCTACACCAACGATTCTAACTAATTTGTAAGCAAAAAACAGGTAAACTAAACCCGATAATACTTTTAAACGGATTACCAATCAAGTGAAAATCATTTCCAGACAGAAATAATACTAGAGTTGTTCTATTTACCCCGGTGTTTTCCAGCTCCTAGAATTTCACTATCAGGAAACGCGCTCAGGTAGCCTCTTCCTCGTTGGGTGTTATGTGACGCAAGGCAGGAAAACCAACTGTAAAGCGCAATACTGCCACCTACTGGCCTGGGGAGCTGACAGATCGACATGAACAACATGTGTTCTCTAAAAATAAATATATTTGTTCTATTTAAATTACAATACAATAACTCAATGCTTAATATAGTTGCTATGTTCAAAAGCAATTATATACTGTATTTACTTCTCAATTTAAATTTACCAAAAAGGTTATTGCTATAAATTTTGAGTAGAATAGACACCTATCTCTAGTTCTGTACCCAGGTGTAATGTGGACTTTAATGCAATATATGTCTTCTTTTGACCAAGGTTCAAGGACAAATAAAATCTCTACAACTGACAGCTTTCTGCTGAAATTTGTTTTGCCAAATATTTAGCTGTAATTTTTGGGCTTTTCATCGTGACCCATGTTATTTTCATTCACCATTCCCCTTTTCAGTTCTGCAGAGGTCTGCCGACAAGTCATTATTTAGTTCAAGTGTACTATAGAAATTATGCATGATGGTAACTCTTATGGACTGGACTAGGGCAGCTTTGTCTTAGAAGTTCCTTGCTCTAGTTGGGTCAATAAGGAGGGTTGTCTATTTGATGTAGCAGATGTTTATACTGTAAAACTAAAATAATCTAAACTGAATACAATTTACACACATACATACAGCAAAATATTTGAAATGCTTTTTTTGCCATTGTTGTTTTACTTTTTCAGGGCCAAACTTTAACATCAAATGTCTTTAATTTATATTTTTGTAGGCTGAAAAAAGCTTTTTCTGGTGCCAGTTTAGCTCCATATACTTACAACACCACTAACTGCTTCTGATATGCCGAACCAATGGAAGTTGGAAGAAGTGAGGGGGGAGTCGCTGAAGCTTCCAGTGTGCAAACCAAACAGAGAAGGTTGAAAGTCCAAGGACAGCAGCTCTGCAACAGACACCAACACTGTCCGCGTTGTTTCAGTTTAAGACGTATTATTGATTTAAAAAAATGGAGATTCCTGTTTATATGCTGGATGCCTTCACAAATTTACCATTCAAAGGAAATCCTGCGGCTGTCTGTCCACTTCTGCATGTGAGTTTGCATGTTTGTGTTGCATTATCAGTCAAAGTGTTTTAAAATTTATGACTTATAAACCATGTGACAAGAGATAAAATCTGATCCTATGAAGGATTAAATTGTTAATATCTCTGATTGGGATTAAATCAAACATAGATGCTTTATTGATTCAGCTACAGTTGTTGCAAAGTAAACAGTTTCAGGTTAAAGGCGTTACACTATCACACCACTAGTCTTAGAATGTGCAGCTAAACACACTAACCTTTGCCTGAGCCATTACTCAGTTGCATCATACCTGAGTTTATGTTATCCTGTGTTTTTTGTTTTGCTTTGTTTTTTTAACAGGAGCTGAATGATGATTTGTATCATAAGATAGCAGCAGAGATGAACCTGTCAGAAACAGCTTTTATTACCTTGATCAACGCTGCGGATACATTTACTTCTGGTAGCTATTTACATATAATTCTTAATAATTACATATAATTCCAAATTACTGGTGACATATACCTGCTGAGATTTGAATTGCTAAGAGTTTGGCAGTAAATTATTACTTCTAACTTGGTAAAAACTTTTCTTGTAGACTGTCTATGACAGTGAGTCATAGATAGGACTAAATGGATTTGCTTAATAAGACATCTTTTTTTTAAATCATATAAACAACAGGAAAAAGATTTCGCCTTAGATGGTTCACACCGACAACTGAAGTGGATCTGTGCGGCCATGCCACACTGGCCTCTGCAGCCGTACTGTTCCAGCATCAAAGTAAGACTCGTCTAATACACACATATATACACCATAGGCAGAGTGTCATTCACTGGAGATCTGTAAAATAAGTACAAATGTGAAGTACGTATGTAAAAATCTAAACAAACTGAAGTGTATCATATATGCTTCCTTAGATAATGTTAACCCAACACTGGTGTTTGAGACCAGAAGTGGAGCTCTAGCTGTGACCAAGAAAAAAGAAGGATATGTCATGGACTTTCCTCTGAACCCACCCACCAAGGAGGTACATAACACTGTCAAGAACACATCAAGACAAAGCTACAGAAAATTAGAAGAGATCTAGGTTCTCTCTGGTAGGTAAATTAATTAAGTATATCTTTATCATATATACCACACCTTTCACTGATATGAATACAGAGTGCTTTACAAAGTTAAAGCATTAAAAAAAAGAGAGAAAAAAAGAAAAATCAACAATTTGAGCAAAAATAAAAAAAAATCTGCATGCTTTCTGCAGCAGCAGGACACTAGCAAACCCAATGTTGCATATATATATATATATGAGAAAGGCTCTATGAAGGGATAACTATACTTTAAACTGTGTTGGTGTTTACATTTAGATGACGTATAAAATATACACTTAGAGCAAAAGTCATATTAGCATAGACTTAATGTTATTGTAAAGCAAGATACTTTTTAGCTGAAGAATACACAGTAACAGCATGACCCCTGTAAAATTAATGGGAAGATTAATTAAAGCAGGCTATAGCAGGAATGCCAGCCCAGGTCAGATAACTATAACAGTGAAAATCCCAATTTATCAAATTCTTCAAAGTTTAACTCTGGATATAACAAATTGTTTTAATATCTGACAATAAGAAGATGTTAACAAATGTTGAGAACTAAAAAAACACTAAATCAAAGGGAAAAGCTTCCCATAGTTATGCTAAATTAAGTAAATATAGCAGCACCAAAAACCTTTGTGTCCCTCTCTGATACAGTAAGATGCTTCTGTAGTTTTCAATAATGGATTAATAATGTGTACATGACAATATTTTCCCTCAATATAAAGGAAAATGTTTTCAAAGATCACAACCTATTCTAGTTTTTATTCTCCTTTTGTAAATCTGATGAGTATAAATTTGCAGGGATTCTTTGTGAATGAAGAAAAAGGGACAGTAGTGGGAACAAGTGAATTTTGAAAATCTGAAGATATCAGCGGTGACAGGGCAATGATCCTATAAGAGAGTCCTGTGTTTCTTTTTTAATCACATCTTTAACGCATACTTTTCCTGGTAGGTTTTATATACATGAGGTTTAAATATTGAAATGCTTTTATGTTATGTTATATTTTATATATATATAAAATGTGTTATTTTCTATATCAAATGTTATTTAACATGTTTTGTTTGCAGTAGCTGTGAAACATCCATGACAATGGATAAAAAATAAATCAAATAAACCTTTATTAAGATTACATGTGTTTTATATTTCACAGGATCTCACTGACTTTAAACATATCGTAAAGGTCAGTAATCAAACATGCATCGTTCACAAGCTTATCTGTTTAAAAATATCTCAATGGGCTGATTATATGTTCGTGTATGTTTGCATTTAATGCAGGTGACAGTGGGGAACCATCCAGTTCAGGATATCTACTTGAGCCGGGAAACAAAGAAGCTGTTGATTCGACTGTCGGACAGCTGTGAAAGGTCACCTTTTAAAACCCTTTATTTTGAGGAAGCATGCCAAGAAAACTATCCCAACTCCAGTCAGAATTTCAAGACACTCCCATCTCTGACCTCCTGCTCTTCTTTCAAAAAGCACTGAACAAAGTATTTGGTGTGTATGTGTGTAATGTCTCCAGGTCAGTGCTAACCAGCCTGAAAGTCGACCATGCTGCTCTTCTGAACAGTGACTGTAGTGGTAGAGTCCATGGCGTGATTGTTACAATGAAAGGTAATCAAAAGCCATTTCCATCTCTCCTGCCCTGTCAGATGAGTTGCACCTGTAAACATTAACTCTCTGACTTAGAAAAAAATTTAAATAAAAAAAAAACTTGCCCTCAGTCGCTTATAAATATAACCAATACAGAGTTATTTAAACTCTTTAGGATCTCAAATGAAGTTAATAACTACATCTACTCCTTAACTTATTTTTATTTTGACATCAGGGTCCCCAGACTGTAAGCCAGGATTTGACTTCTACTCCAGGTACTTTGCACCGTGGGTTGGAATCCCAGAAGATCCTGTGTGTGGTAAGATGAGCCCTGCTACAGACATGGGAGGTTCTGTTTTAGGTTCTGTAGAACTGGGGCCAATGTTATGGCCCCTGTACTGAAGACACAATATACTCTAATGATGAAATGTGCTGGAACAGATACAGTGACTGATAGCTCCTTTGGACCCATTTCATTTCTTTCTTTACAATTTAGTTTCAATTAATATTTAAAGATTAAGGTGAGGGATTTAGTCCCATTTTCATGAGCTAAATATTATTTTGAACCAAACAGAAAACAAATGCTAAATTGTTACAGCTGAATGTATCAGTTGTACTACAGTTCTAATTATAATTTGTTAAAACTGGTAATTGTCAATTAAGATAAGTGAAAATATAAAATAGTCCTGATTATAATTGTGCATTGACCTAATATTGCAAAGAATAGCTTCATTTTTATCTTTAGTAGATATTTATTTAGCATCTGAGTATTTATATTGCTTTTTTCCCATGGTAATTCATTTTTGTAAACTTTAGGTAACTAAGATAAAAATAAATAAATAAATTTCCAATTGGAACAACATAAACTCTGAATTGAATTAAATGAAGTGAGGATATCTTTGGTTCTTCCGCAGTCTTTTTAGTTTACTTTTTTTTTTTTGTTCCGTGATGTTCTGTGCTCCCATTAAAACATGCTGGCCCCCCTAGGAAATATGATCTAGAACCGCCACTGCCTACAGATAACCCTGATTCTGTTGTAGTGTGCATCCTAATCAAGTTCTATTGTAAGTGCTTAAAGCTTAAAAAAACATTTCTTGAGTAAGGCTGACACATATTTTATGTTTCATCTGAAATACGTACCTTCTGCTTTTTTAGGGTCAGCCCACACTGTACTGGGGAGCTACTGGTCAAAAATACTTGGAAAAAAGAAAATGCTTGGTGAGTTCTTATAAACAGCAGGTTCTGTTTTTTGTTTTGGGGGATTTTCTGTCAAGGCTCTGGGTTGTCCTTTACTGGGACTCTCATATGACAATTTAAGTTTGACTGTGAAGTCAGATATTGACACATGGGAAAAAAAATATACATATAAACTGTTGTCCTTAATCAAACACAAATGCTTACCACATTTGTGTTGATCCCTCTTCATTCTGATACCTGTAAGTAAAAGCCAGTACAGCTTGTTAACTTAAGAAATCACTTTATCAGTAAAAAAGGGTCTGTGTCAAATTTAATCTCAATAAAAATATGTCTGTTCTCAGATATTTGTATGAGAAAAGCAGTAAACAGACAGCATAATCTACAAAAAGTAACACATTAAGCAGGAAAGAGGGAAAGTTCTAGAGAAGTTTAAAGCAGGATTAGGTGCAGGAATCTGTTGAGAAGAAGAGTAGCAAGAAGATAACGATGAGAGTTTATGTTTAAAGTTTGACCCAAAACATTTAGAGAGATGATAAGGAGATACATTCATGGGAACCCTGAGAGGAAAACTGTTAAATTCCACAGAAGAAGATGGGAATGGATTCCCTTTAAAGCAGAACAATCTTGACCATACAGCCAGAGCTACAATGAAAGGGTTTAGATGGTCCAGTTCAACTTCAAATATTTCTTAACTCAATTGAAAAATCAGTATCAATGTTTGAAAGTTGAGATTCATTATATATTTATTTCAACTTATTTCAATTCAGTTCACTTTATTTATATAACACCAATTCACAACACGTCACCTGAAGGCACTTTCTACATACAATACAGTCAGATTAGTTAAGAGTTTCTTTCCAGGAAAACCAGTTGACTGCATCCAGTCAAGAACTTGTTTTCTTAGAATCATTTCTAATTTTTGCAATATTCTGGAGATGAAAGAAGGAAATTCAAGAAGCCCCTTATATATGGAATTTACATGAGAGATTTATAATCTGAGATCAATTTAATCCCATCCAAATGAAGTGACTGACTGATATGCTTCTTTTCAGAGACTCTGTTCCAAAGACTATAACTTCTGCTTTATGTGCATTTAGAAGCAGAAGGTTGCCACACTGAGATCTAACAGGACAAGTACAGATACAAGTCAATTATCTGACGCAATGAGAATATCATTAGTGACTTTCACCAGACCTGTCTCAGTGCAATGATGAGCTCTAAAACCTGATTGAAAGCCTTCAAAAAGTTCATTATGTTTTTAATCTTTCCATTTCCGTAGCTTACCAGTGCTCGAGTCGTGGTGGGGAGCTGGATCTTGAAGTGAGAGATGATGGACGAATCAACATAGCTGGAGAGGTTACCAGTGTACTGCAGGGAGTCATCAGACTGTAGAGACAATCTGATGAACAGGAAGTCAATGTGAACATTCAGAACTAATACTAATTTGATGGTTTTAAAGATAAACAAGAGATTTAATCGCAACTGATTGTAGTAGTGGACAAAGTTCATTAACGTGAGTAAATCATTAGTCTCATGTATGATGATTGAATTACAATTTCTTGTAATTAATGGTTTGATGTAGTAGAAAAAAAGGACACAAAATCAGGATAAAACAAAGACCCTGAACATTAATGCTTTTTATCTTTATGGAATAAAGGGGCAGGTTTACACAAAGACGTTTTTAAATTCTTGTTCAAACTGGTTAAAGTTTAAGGATTAGTTCCTTTCAAATAATTTAAGGAAATTATTTGAAAGGTCTTTAAAGGTCTATTATCCTGAACTAATATAAAGTTGGAGAGAGAAAAAAATGACTTTAAAAGCTGATAAGATATGTGATTACCTCAGAAGGAATGGTTGGTTTGGACTTAAACAAGTTCTGCTTTTAAGAAAACCTCGCTGGGTGGAAGAAAATTCATTTGGGTTGGATTGTTGCATCATTTACCCGAAGCCAGGTCCAACCTGGTTCTGTTGTTCTGTTTGATTTTCAAAACTCAGCTTTTCTGTAAAGAGTCGTCACATTGCCCCCTGCCCTCAAATAAAAATAAACTCTTGGACGATAATGAACAATCTTTGACTACTTGGCTCAAAACACCATGTTGCAGCAAACAAAGCAATTTCACGAGGTCAAACGTTGTTTACAGAGTCTGTTTACGGTCCACCTGTCTTATAGCTGGATGAATACCACAAGTAATCTAATGTTACCTGTTGTTAAAAAAAACTGAAAGAAAATGGTTATAGCAGACGAAGAACCACTAATCTGTTTGATCAACAAATTCAATTTCTTTTGAATGTCAAGTTTATTTATTATATGGGGATTTACAACAAAAGTTGTGTTTTGGTACTTCAAAAGAAACCAATCAAATTTAGATTAATATTATAACTAGATTAATCCAATTAGGGACATATTTTAAGTCAATTATATTTAATTTAGTTCAATCCTTATTATAATTAATTTATAAGCTAACTAAAATAAACTAATTTATGCTTTTCTACAGACTGCTGAAAAGTTTTCAAAGGGAATTTAATTTAATGCATCAGCTCACTGAATTTGCTGTTTTTTCTTTTAAACAAGAATATGACTGGACAGTATATACCACTACTGTTAACTTTGCAATAAGTTGCAAATTGGCTAAATACTTTAAGAAATATTGAGAAAGTCCTGCACAGTAATTACTCTACACAAACTGAAAAATGTGTTCCATTCCAAACTAGTGTGTTCTTGTTGATTAGTTATAAGGTTTTGTCAAGAAAACACACATCTATTCACTTCCACTTTTAAGCCCTTAGAGGACTTTACAGGGGTTCTGCACATATTTGGGATCAGATAACTGATCTTTTTGAGCATGTAAGGTCCCGCAGAGCATTCTGAGGTTAAAATACAAATAAAAAAACATACAAATAAACACAGAGTTAAGTCATTAAATATATTTTTAGAAGGTGGCCAGTCTGTTGCATTTCAATTTTTTTTTATTGGTTAAAGGCTGAACTGTTTTTGAACAAATGCACAAACATTTTAGCAAAAGGATTATCAAATAAATAATGTGCACAAATAAGGAATAGTTGTATTAACTATACATGTAAATAACTGCCTAATGCTGCCTAATGGTAAATCCGCCCGTGTGTGGATGTGGTGCTGCACACAGCTGAAGGGTGTGTGATGTGTTCATGAACACAACTCATACAAAATGCAACAAAAGGAACAAACCACTTTATGTTTAAGAAACATTATTTATTCACATTAGACAAAAAGATAACATTAAGAAGACAAAAGTTTAACAAAAAGTAAAAAAAGACCAGTCATGTGAGGTCACCCTAAAAATAAAAGAGGTAAAAAGTCAGGAATCCTCCTTAGCAATCTAAATTCATAAATCTGAAACAACAAATGCATGGTTGGACAGCTAGAACCAACAGTTCAATTCACCTATGGTAAACAAAATTTTTAAATTTAAAATACACTACTGGTACCTCTGGATAAGCGTTTCTGTGCAGTTGGACAAAATTGTATACAAATGAAAAATCTGTTGCTAAGCTGAGAAATCAGAGAACAGTTTGGTGTTAGCTCTCACTAGTAAGGAACCAGGTTTCATACTATAAAGCCTGGGGTCCCATTACTGACAGTTAAAAATCCAGTTACAGCATCAGGTTTTAACATTAAAGGCCTGCATACACAACACAACAAAGTAACAAAACTGATTTTTCAGTTAACAGGACTTAAATTAAATTGAGGCTTATAAATAATGAGCTTATATTTGCTGTGGAAGCATAAAATGATGGATTTAGTACCAGTAATTGCACCTAAACTATCATTAGTCCATTAGCAAGAAACCCCAAAGCAAATTGTTTAAAGTATCACAGTGTAATTATTCACATATACCATCAGTAAAAGCTGCACAACTGTTATAGTTCTTCAATATCTTAGAATTTTTGTTTCACATTAGAAGTTTAAGGCTTCAAAATGATACAAAATTGACTAAAATCAGCTAATTGGACTGAATTAAAGATTTGAGATATTTTCAGATCAGGAAAACAAAATCACCATTAAATGTTAGTTCTAATGCAACCCAACTAATATTTTATTATATATTTTAGTTTAAAGTAAAACCAAGTTTGCAAATCATTAACAATTTGTGTTTATTATTTAATAAAGAGGCTCTGTGGCCTTCTGATGAACATCCAACCATCAGGGAGGAAAGGCCTTCAGCCATTTCCCTAGAAGCCAGTGAGCTGAAACCAATGTGTGGTCCTCCCTCAGAGGTTCATGCTGGGTAAAGCCTTGTGAGCAGCTGGTGGGAGCTGGATGATGTGAAAAATGGTTAAGGAGAATAACACAAAAAAAGAAACTGCTGAGCACCAGTTAAAAATAGAAAAAAAGACAACCTATACGGAAAATCTAAAATATGTGGACTAAGAATGGACATTATGACTGTCTAGCAGGGGTCCTGCACCCCTGAGGGTGCGATCAGATGCAGGTGTGATCACACCCAGCTCGTTTGGCACAAGGGTTTACAAAATGGTGACAGGAGACGGTTTTCAGAACCATCGTGATGTGATCGCTGCGGTGGATGGAGGGCCGAAAGGGACAAAATTAAATGAATTAAATATATTAGACTTTATGTAATAAACAAAATGTACCATTAATGTACCATTTCATGAAATGCACAAAAAACAACCCAATTAGACAATAAAATATAAAAAATAATGAAACTAAATGTCAATTAAACAGATATAAATATATTAATTATTATTTATTTGCATTTTTAGGAGGTCACCAGTCCCTGGCATTGTTATTTCTTGGTACCACAGTCCAAAATGTTTGAGAACTCCCAATCTAGCATATTCAATCCTTAAACCTGCACTAGTGCTGTGTAAATCATTCCTGGAGCATAACCTATTTGTACCCAGCTTCATAATGCTGCTGAAGAGGCCATCAGAACATATGGCTACCATTAAGATATTTACACTTTGGGTGCACAATAGAAAATGATGAGATGGGAACAATACTGCAAAATGCTGCCTGGAGGAAGAAATTAGTTTGATGAATCCACTAACATCAACTTAAACCCTGTTTCCGCTGAACAGAGAAATCATCCAAAAGTCTGAATATACTTTTGACTTACAAAGTTTGTAGCAATATATATCTACCAGTACTATCAATATTACACAGAATTACATGGCCACAATCTGTTTTGCAACTTTACCGCTTCAGAATGCCAATCGCTGCTTTTTAAACACACCATTGTACGGGCGCAACAATGGAGAAATAATGCTTAGTCAGTAGCCATAATGTTATGCCTGTTCACTGGGAGAAGTAAATATTCACCAAAAGGATATCATGTTTTCCTGATGAAGATGTTGGAGCAGTTTTTCCACCGGTGAGTAGCGTCGCAGCGTCGTAGCAGAGCCCACCATCAGCAGCTTGTGTTTGGCTCGGGTAACAGCAACATTCAGGCGCCTCCAGTCTTTTAAGAGCTCCCCCAGCTGAGAAAAGCAGGACACAATTAGGACAGTCTTCCAATCTATGCAACTTTCTTCAAAAAGTCAGAAAAAAATTTTGGTAGAAATCAGGAGCTGAAAAGAGAAACACCCACACTTCCTTCCTCAGCTGTGCTTCTGACAAACGACAAAACAATCAGACTTTTGTCTCGTCCCTGGTATCTGTCCACCGTATTGACCTCCACCCCACTGAAAGCAGAGGACTGCAGCAAAGCTGAGATGCTCTTTAGCTGCTGCCTGTAGGGGGCGATCACGCCGATATCTGCAGGTTTACACCCAGCCTGGTAGACAGAGACAGTTTAAGGCCAGAAATAGGAACACTGATTTCTTTACATTACTTATATATTTATTTAACTCTGAACAGAATTAAGAAGCAAACTAACCCTGATTAGAAGAGACAGAAGCATATGTATGAGAGCAGCTTCAGTGTGATTGCTCACTCCTCCTTGTTCCACTGACTCCAAGGCAGGAACCTGCAGGAACCAACACTTTTACATGTAATACAACTTAAACCCAAGCTGCATGTATAGCATCTAAAAAGATCTGCATTGTGTAATGCATCATCTGCATATTTTCATGAAGTATGAGTCGCTTGATGTTTTTTTCTTAATAAATCCAATCTGGGTTTTTTTTTTCTACAAACCACTGAGCAGTCCAAGAAGCAGACAGGATTGCTGGGCAGCAGTGTGGTCTGTAACCAGGACAAGTCCAACTGGGGACAAGTCTCGGAATAAGAAGTGAGCTCCGATTGGACGGAAGGCAGAAGGGGAAGCGTGAGCAGAGCTGAAGCCGTCCTCTCCGATCCACACTCCAGTCGCCCATCATACATCAGAGAATTACTCAGAGACATGATCTGTCTAAATACAAAGAACAAAAGAACAATGGAGAAAAAAAAACTGTTTTGTAGTTATTGATGATAAAATGTGTTCAGAAGAGTCTAACAGCAAGTTAGAAGATCCATGGAGCTTAAAAATAAACAGTTTTCCAGCCCATTAAGCTTCATCACTTTGTTTGAAAATGAAATTATTTAAAACATAAATTAATGAGCTGTAGTTGCTTTCCAGAGACAATGTGAGGAAGCATTTTGAAGACCTTACATGAAATGTTTTACAATTTAAAAAAATGCCCTGAAAAATCTGTTTTCAGAAATGTTTTCTGCAAGTTCAGAAACTGAAAAATACCGGATAAAAGACAACATATACCGGTATTTTGAAAGCAGCGTCTCTGTGTGTTAGCAGCAAAATAGTATAAGTGCTCCTGCTAAAATATGAGGCTTTTCTTAGATATCTAGATCACATTAAACTTTAGACCTTAACCAATTTTAACACAACCTAATAAATAATAAAGAGAAAAAATATTATACCAATTGTTTATATATATATATATATATATATAAAACTCTGAAAAGTGTTATTTGCATATGAATCAACCTCTGTACTCCTGTTTCAATGAATCAGGGCAATCAACACCTTTTAGAATTGACCTAATACGTAAGTAAAAAAACATCTCAGCATAATTTATCCATTGGATGAGATGATCCTCTTTATGAACAGGCAATAAACATAAAAGCAATTCAAAGGTACAAGCGGAAAAGATTCAGAGCTCTAGTGGGAGAAACTACTGTGTGTGCAACGTGTAACAATGGCCTTTAGAAAAGAGTGACAAGATTCAAATTATTGTTGAAATGATCCCATCTGGAGTCAGTTTTGCAGTTAAAAAGCAGCCATAAAATGTAAATGTCCGGCCTACTATCAACGATTGTTTGGAAAGCCAAAAACTTCCTTATGAACTTGCCATCCCCATAATAAAAATATGGTGGTGGCAGCATCATGCTGTGGGGCTTCCTCACCTAAAAGTGACGGCAAAAATGGATGGAGCTAAATAAAGAAATCTGCGGGGTACGATAAATTTCAATAAAACATACCCACATGTCTGAACTTGTTAATGTAAGTCAATACGGTCAATAAAAGAAAGGTTAGTCTTTGTTCCTTGTTAACATATAAATGTTACATATCTTCTATAAGTCTGTTGTGGAGACTGATCTGTCACTCGATCATCTGCTGGGATGACAGCATCAGATCATATGACTTTTGAAAGCTCAAAAAGCTAATTAAGAAGGCTGTCTATGTTCTAGGAACTCCTCTAGAACCTCTGGAGATGATTTAAAAAAGAGGAATTCTTCATAAAGTGAAGATGATCATGGACAGCAGTGAGTATCCTCTTTAGAAGAGAGGCTTCCCCAGACAGACCACTACAGAAGAAACTTCCTGCTTACAGCAATCAACACCTAGAACAACTCCATGAAACAAAGAGCTATCCGAATAGTGCCGATAGTAAGGAAGGAGATAGCAGGTGGAATAAGGATATTTCAGTCAACATAGGGACCTAAATAATAGTAAATAATAAAGGGTAAATAATTATG